TATTGCAGCCTGCACTGCAAACTGTGCTGAAGATACGTGTCATCAAAGTCAGGCAACACAAACCTGGTTCATGATTTGAGACTATCACTCATTAGAACATGCAGAAGCTAAGAAATAAATGTGTCTACTATTATATTTATTTTGTTAAGGAAAAATGACTGGAAGAGTGTTCCAAATGTGAATTCAACAATGTGAAGTGCTTATCATATTCTGACCATAAAGAGTCATTTAAAACCACAATTAATGGTCTGGTTTCTACAACTTTCACTTAGGAGCAAAAACCTGCCTTTAAACTTGAAAGAAATAAAGATTTGAATAATTGTCGATAATTATCGATATCGACTGATATAAAAAATGTTGTGATAATTTTTTTAACCATATCACCCAGCCCTAAATAAACTGATTTTTTTTTTTTTTTTGTGACAGTGTAAAAGTTTTACTGTCACATTTGATCAGTTTATCAATTTGATAAGGTTTTGGTTTGGGTTAAAGTTTCATTTGATCAGGTTTGCTCAATATTGATTTTATTGAAACCCAGATAAAGAAAATACTCCCCAAAAATCCCTAAACTAACTGTTTGTCCTAAAACAATAAACATTATTATTATTATTATTATTATAGAAATGCATGCTTTCATTGTCTTACACATAAAACAGAGCAAATACACAACTTTGCCCATTTATCAATGTAAATAAAAGCCTAAATTAAATATGTTCATCATATAAAGTGATTGTGTCTCTTCAGAAGAAACTACTCGATTCAGATGGATTACTTTTACTGTGTTATGAATTTTTTGAAGTGTTAAAGTTTGGGGGGACAGAAATCTCTGAATGAGTGCATCATTCTGTTTAAAAATGTTTAAATGCATGTTTTTGTGCCCAAAATTTGTACTTTGTACAAAAAGTTTCTTTGTTACAGGAAAAGGTGTGGGTGAATGTTGACAAAAGTCTAGAGTGTATCATCCAGCGAGTGGATAAACTGCTGCAGAGGGACCGTCTGCACAGCAGCAGCAGTGAGGACATGTTCCAGACTGACCAGCAAAGTGGCACCAGTAAGAAAGGTAATGGGAAAACAAAAGCCTTCTGGATCAACCCTGCCTGCATGGAGGAGCCTTCCTCGGTCCCTGAACCGCAACAGCTGTCGCCTTCACTATCACCATCACCATCATCACCTTCATCTTCACCACCCGATCTGAACCCTGCATGCCCTGTTAATGCAGAAACGCATGCCTGTAGGTGCCTTTCACTGTCTTGTTCACACCTTCTCTCTCTGTTATATTTTTGAGAACAGCATGGAGTCTAGTAGGCAGAGTCTTATATTATTTTGCCTTTCTGCAATGTGCTTCACATTCTCTGCTGCTTGTCCCTTGTATTTGCATAGTGGTACACTCACTAACATGTACATACTCATTTCTTCTTTCTATTTCTAGTTATTACACTTTCAGTCTCTGTTTTTCACGAACCCTGTCACCTGTTCATCTTCAAACAGGTTTGCATGCTGCCATAGCAACAAGCATTCATATTACGCTAACTTGACTGGTTGTGGCTAGAAATTCTTCTCTCGTTGTTTCTAATCCACCTCATCATCTTTATTTTTTTTACCTAGGTGTCTATGGTACATCGTTGTGTATGTGTGTCTGATTTTAAAGAGTCTAGTAATATGTGACCCTGGACCACAAAACCAGTCTTAAGTGGCTGGGGTATATTTGTAGCAATAGCCAAAAACACATTGTATGGGTCAAAATTATCGATTTTTCTTTTATGCCAAAAATCATAAGGATATTAAGTAAAGATCATGTTCCATGAATATATTTAGTAAATTTCCTACCATAAATATATCAAAACTTAATTTTTGATTAGTAATATGCATTGCTAAGAACTTCATTCGAACAACTTTAAGGGTGATTTTCAAATAGTTGTATCTCGGCCAAATATTGTCCTATCCTAACAAACCATACACCAATAGAAATCTTATTTATTCGGCTTTCAGATGATGTATAAATCTCAATTTCAAAAAACTGACCCTTATGACTGGTTTTGTGGTCCAGGGTCACATATTTGTATATTTGTTTACCTTTTGCCAAAACAAAGCAATATGAATGTATGGAAAAACTGACATCCAAGTGCATTCCACAGTTTATGTTAACGAGTGTGTGTTGTCTCTGTGTGACTCTCTGTTGATGTGCCATGTCTCTGGAACATGTTTCTGGAACATTCTGTTGTTTGACCCAGCATATTTGCCTACTGTGAACATGTGACCGGGTGCTCTCGTTTGATTGGCTGGCTGGTCAACAGGCTCACAGGCTGGCTGTCTGGTGCTGGCTGTCTGTGCCAGTTAGTCACTTGGCAGTGCCAGCATGCTGTGATTTACAGTTGTCTTTTACATTATATAATGACTATGAAATCATTAGCTTGCCAGGCAGCTGTGAATATTACTTACTTGCATATTACTTCTAGACAATCCTTTGCAACATTCCACTTATTATTTGAGTGGAAAAGTAGTTGTTGTTGCGTTCAATGTCTGAGCTGCGTGTGCTATGCTAGTTGCACTCGCTAAGTTAACTGTTGCATGTTGCACCTCCATCCCTATAGATGGCAGCAGCAGCAGTGGAGAGGAGAGTTACCCAGGTAAGAGCCCCTCCCCCTCCCTTAGGCTTATGCGCTTGCGCTGAATAAGTGTTCACTTTTATGTCACATCTGTTGTTGTTCATCCTTGTTAATGGTGTTACTTGTAAACTTGCTACTGTCATTGCTACTGTTTCCTGAACTCTGTGTCCTTGGTTACCTTTAAAGTCCCCGTGAATTGGTTACCCCCAATGTATTGACATTTTTGATTTAAACAGGAAATCGGGGCAAGACGTATCAAAGAGGTTTTTTTTTTTTAAATGTCCAATAGCATTTAGTTTATACTAAATGTAAATCACTCTGATGGGAAGCATATTTAGTCTAGTGGTATTTTACATTTTTGGGGGGAACAGACATTCCAGTTCTAGAAATTTGATTAGAAAAAAGTTTTTTTGGGTCTGTATTCTTGAAAGACAGGGATTGCAATTTTTATAGGCATATATCTTCTAAAAGCAATTTTTGTAAATGTTTACAATTAATCTAGTATAGAAATGATCAAATGTTAAAGGGTTAGTTCTCCCAAAAATGAAAATTCAGTCATGTCGTTCCAATCCCATAAGACTTTCGTTCATCTTCAAAACATATATGAACATATTTTAAATGAAACCTGAGAGATTTTTGTCCCCCAAAACCTGAACAAGTTCATTAAAAAAATCACAAAATGTAATCCATATGAATCAAGCTTTTTAATCAAGCCTTCTAAAGAGACACAATCCCTTTAATGTAGGCTTTTATTCACATATAAATATTGATTATATACATAGAGGACATCAAACGGTCAACGGAAGGTCAAACCTAATTGGTTCTTCAAACTTGAGTTCACTGGTTCTCACACATTGCGCAAGCTTCAGTTTACCATTTATTTGTTGAGCATAAATTGTTCAGTTCATATGGATTACTTTTACTATGTCTTTAATGAACTTGAATCTTTGATGGAATGTAATTTCAATGGAAATCTTTCAGGTTTCCTTGTGTTTCAAAGATAAATGAAAGTCTAATGGTTTTGGAATCACAGGAGGATAAGTAAATGATGACAGAATTATTCTTATTGGATTAATACACAGACTAAAAGCAACAAAACTTAAAATTTTGATTTCATGGGGTCTTTAAAGTGAAGCATGAGATTTTAAAGAAACATATGAAGATGTCATGTTTAATAAAGATAATAGCAGCAGATTCTCTTTGTGTGTCAGGTGAGTGGAGCGAAGCCCTGTATCCCCTCTTGACAACCCTAACGGAGTGTGTGGCCATGATGAGTGACAAAGCCAAGAAGTCAATGGTTTTCTTGCTCATGCAAGACAGCGCACCCACCATCGCAATGGACCTCAACCTGCAGTACCGCCGAGACGTGGTCTTCTGCCAGACAGTTAGTTCTAAAACACACATTAGTGAACACTTCCATGACCTTAAAGGAATAGTTCACACTTAAAAATAATTTACTCGACTTCATGTCTTTCCAAGCTAGAAGACTTTGGTTCATCTTTAACACAACAAATGAAGATATTTTTTAATAAAACCTGAGAGATGTCTGCCACTGAATTGAAATTCAATTCAGTGAGAGACTGTAAAAGAAACTGAAATGAAACGAGCAGTTAAATTCAAGTCTTATGAAGAGAAACGATTGCTTTATATGATGAACAGATTTCATTTAGGCTTTTATTTACATCTTAAAACATTGTTTAACACATCATAGAGCACATCAAATATGGTGAACGGCAGTTCAACCGCACATGCTTGACACACAAGAGCAAACCTCATTAGCAAGCAAGTTTGGGCTTCTGTTTACCATATTTATCGTGCTCAATGTACAGTGGGGAAAAAAAGTATTTAGTCAGCCACCAGTTGTGCAAGTTCTCCCACTTAAAAAGATGAGAGAGGCCTGTAATTTTCATCATAGGTATACCTCAACTATGAGAGACAAAATGAGGGGAAAAAAATCCAGAAAATCACATTGTAGGATTTTTAAAGAATTTATTTGCAAATTATGGTGGAAAATAAGTATTTGGTCAATAACAAAATTTCATCTCAATACTTTGTTATATACACTTTGTTGGCAATGACAGAGGTCAAACGTCTTCTGTAAGTCTTCACACCTTCGGAATGTGACATTCAAGGTGACGCAGGCCATCTCTACCTCTTCCCCCGACATGCTGCCTGTGATCACCGGAAATCGAGATGGGTTCAATGTTCGCATCCCTCTCCCGGGAAGCATGTTTGATGCATTGCCAAGGGAGATCCAGAACGGCATGCTGCTGCGGGTACAGCCGGTGCTGTTCAACGTGGGCATCAACGAGCAGCAAACGCTCGCCGAGACGTGAGTCCTGATTATGTAAAACACCCCTCAAGAGTGCTTGCATAACATCAACAAATAACATTATATCATAATTGTTTGTTTTATCTGATCTCTTTTTCAGTTTGGCATACACTTGTGTTCATATTGAAGATATCTAAAGGGAATTCAAAATGTTTGTGTCGTAGGTTTGGAGACACGTCGCTTCAGGAGCTCATCAATGTGGAGAGCCTGGCACATCTTAGCTCTTACTACCAGCAGTTCAAAGAGGTTTTACCTGATGACTGTAAGTCATCACTCTCTCTCTCTCTCATGTTTTTTCCCTCTCTACATAATAAAAAAGAAATTATTGCAAGATTTGAATTATGCAAGTCACTCTGGTTTTGATTTTCTCTCTCTCATAGGTCTTCCTCGCTCTCGTAGTCAGACATGCCTCCCAGAGCTGTTGCGGTTCCTTGGTCAAAATGTTCATGCTAGGAAAAATAAAAATGTAGACGTCTTGTGGCAGGCTGCAGAGGTAACAGTTCTCCTACTTAGGGCCCTATCATACATCCAGCGCCAGACGCGACGCAAGTGTTTTTTGCTAGTTTCAGCCCGACCCAGTTGTCATTTTCACATCCTGCGCCACGTTGTTTAAATAGCAAATACATTTGCGCCCATGGGCGTGCTGGTCTGAAAACGAGGTGTGTTCAGGCACATTGCTGGTGCGTTGCTATTTTGAGGCAACTGAAATGGACCGTGCCATTGACCAACAAAAATCTGGTCTTAAAGTCTGGTGCAATATATATATTTTTTTGCTATTTAAAGAGCGCATTAGTAATATGCGCCTATAGGCGGGTGCACAATGCACGTACACTTTGCTTATTACACACACATGGATGCGCAGCAGCACAAACATTTAAAAAAATTAAAGGATTAAAATGTAAAAGATTATTATTGTGTACATAAATATATGTATAAATATATTATATAAATATAATATATGTGTACGTAAATATAAAAATCCCTACATGTCATAATGGATAGTCTTTGCATGTATCAGAATTACGTGCACAAACAGATCCGTTCCCTCACTAGAGAAGCGTTCAGTTTTTCCGCTTGCAAATTCCGCCATGTAAATAGCGAATCCGCCATGGCGCGAGCGCAACTGGCTTTTAAAGGGAATGGGAGATGAGACTCTGATTGGTTTATGGCACGTTACGCCCAAAACACACCCATTACTCATTAAGAGAATAGGGACAACCCTTTTAGACCTTGCGCCGGGCGCGCCGACCATTTTTCCTGTCCTTAAACTAGCAAAAGTGGATTCGGATATTGCGCCGTGCTCTTTAAACCATGCGCTTAGATCGGTAAAATAGGGCCCCTAATGTGACACAATAAAGGGTGAAACAACTAAATTATATTCAAAGAATTGCTCAAACCCATTTAGCATTGATTTCATTTAAAACTATTCTCATTAAAAAAAAACATCACCCATAGTTTTCATGTCCGAAATACAGTAGAATCCATGTTTGAGTGCAAAAACATCTCATTTGGCTCATCTCATTTGTACTGACACCTCTGAAAATAGAAATATTAAATGTGTTTTTGTTTTGAGGTGAAATCACAGCAATTTATCATTTAATTACTGTACAGTTAGACAAAGAGAAAAAAGCTAAATAAAACCCTGAAAAAAGTCAAATAAATCTTAGATACTGATAATCCAATAGAAGTCAACATTTTACTAAATGTAATTTGCATTGATGCATTTTGCTACAGCTTCATGCACATAGGCGTAATGCTTGTACAGGTATATTGGCTGATCACATTCAGTAATTTTCCATGTGTAGTTATAATTAAGCTACAGGTTTTGTGAAGTCGAGCTAAAGTGTCTAAGAATACGCATCGCACGTCACCTCTGGCTTTTGATACAAGCGCACAACATTGAGGTCAATTGTAGTCTGATAATTATGATTTCAGTCGGTTTACAAGACATTTTTAAAAAACGAATTATTGTTTAAGTTAAGCTGAAATCTAACTTTTAAAATGCATATAATGGGCCTCATTCATGAAACATTCGTAAATATATGAGTAAATTCTGAGTAATTTATGCATAAAACGGACCATCCCGAAAACTCTCCTCCGGATTCACAAATACTTCCTAAAGGTCAGATTTGATAGTTAAACGTGTGTGTGTTAATGAATTCCAATCATTCGTAAATAGGGTGCGCATGCACGCTCATTCACAATTAGCATATTCCCCTATGAATTTCAGCTACGCAAATTACGTATCTAGGAATGGTGTGGAATCCTTTGTATTCAATTCTCAGGTTTGACAAGTTATATTGCATAAATGCATAAGAGACTAATAGGCTATATGCCTAATAATAAATTAACGTGTCCACCAGAGCGTTTTTAGCCAGCTAACATAATGCCTGGTGCTCTTCTGAAAATGACCAGCTGGTAGAGCTTTGGAGGCACTGCATTTTATTGGAGTGACGCGTTGTTTGCTATGTTATATTCACGGCAGTAACATGTTATGAATATCTTATTTTGAAGAATATAATTGAATATAAAAATGCAGTAACCAGCAATATTAACTTCTCCATTGATGTGTTGTACAAGTGTGATGGTTGGTCAATGTAGTGCTTGTCCCGCCCCTCCTCCACTGTGATTGGACGGCTGTGTAAAAAGGGAAAGTGAGGAGCTCTGCGTTTTTACCCAAAGTTAAAGAGTAAAAATTTAAAGAAAAAAAAAGACAGGGCAATTGAACTCGTTAAATGTTTGTCTAAAAGAATACAGAACGTTTGAATGTTTTATGCACCATTTACACGTGGTAGGGAGCAGGTGTAAATTTATTTCGTATCAACTAATATTTTCAAAATACGAACATTTTCATGAATCCAAAAATTTACGTCAGAACGACTTTCCAAATGATTTACACAAAAATTAGTTCTGCTCGTGTTTCATGAATGAATTTTCAACCAGAGGGGGCCTTGTGAAACTTCCAAGGGGCCCACGAAGGGAGACTTAAATTATTTACTTAAATTACTTAAAAAATATAAAATCACAAAATATCAACCTGAAATCATGTTTCTTTATTCCTTCCTCAAAAACTGTTTTTATTATTAAATAATATACAGAATTAGAATCTTTGTTGTTCTGTGATCACAAAATGATTTATCTTTCATTTAATATATCAACACTCCCAGTTTCTGCTAATAATAAAGTTTGAAAACAAGGTGTATTATCATAATTACTGCACAAATACGTCATATATTCAAATACAAATACACTAATACCTGTCTTAGCCAATATTATGGACCTTCGAAAATTGTGTTGGATCACGAGGGGCCTTGAAGTCAAAAAAGATTGAGAACCACTGCGTTAATTGGAGCACCCTTAATAAAAAATGAACATATGTAGTCAAAAAAATCATTTGTTTTAGTTCAGCACAGTACCAACAGAGTTTGCATTTAAGATGTTTTAAGTGGTTCTAGTTCCATTTCAAAAGACACTTGAATGCCAAACTGGAATAAGTGTGAATATGTAGTTGGCTGTAACACAATATTTGTGCCCCTTCACTCTCAGATTTGTCGGCGTCTGAATGGAGTACGTTTTACCAGCTGTAAAAGTGCCAAAGACCGCACTGCTATGTCAGTGACTTTGGAGCAGTGTCTGATCCTGCAGCACGAGCACGGCATGGCCCCGCAGGTCTTCACCCAGGCCCTCGACTGCATGCGCAGGTAAGACACCTGAACAACTGCCTGCACTTCAATTCATATGCATCGCACGCTTGGGGATGTGCCTCCCTCCATTTCTTTTTCTCTTTTCTTCCTTTCTCTTTCTCTCTGAAGGATCCCCTCCAGTGCATCATCCCTCATTGCTTGCAGCTTCTTGGTGTTTGCAGTAACACTTTTCTGTCTTTGTTTCTCTGTGGCTTATGTGGCCTAATATGTTCATTACTTTTATATTTACTCACTTGTTTGGAGTGTTTGTTCCTTTCCACTTCACCCTACCATATTTTGTCCCTTCTCTCCATGCTCTACAAGAGGCATAAACACAACTAAATCGCTCCTGTAGAGTGTGAGGAAATGTTGAAACTTTGAATCTGCTGATTTCTTTGGCTGTCTGCTTGCCAGATGTTCTGTGCTTATAAATAAGAGTATGAAATTGTCGGTTTTGTCCCATAATTCTCTCCTCTTGTCTCCTGTGCAACCTAAGGACAGATCTAAACAAACATATGTAGTTAAATTTAAAACCGTATCTGTCCTGTGAAAGCTGATGAAAAAGACAAGAGGAGTACAGGAAGGTTTTGTTGCTGTTTTATAGAGTCTCAGTAAACACTCAATGGTAACGCTTTACAATAAGGTTTCACATCATTTACACTAGTTAATGCATTAGGTCTCATAAACTAACTAGCAATGGACAATGCTTTTACAGCTTCTACTACTGTTTGGGGTCAGTAAGATTTCCTTTTTATTTTTTGGTTACATGATTTCCTCAAAAATATCAATAAGCACAACTGTTTTCAGCATTGATAATAACAAGAAATTACCACACCAGCATATTTGAATGATTTCTGAAGGATCAAGTGACTCTAAAGTCTGGATTAATGGATGCTGAAAATTCAGCTTGGCCATCACATGAATACATTTCATAAAAAAAAAATATATATATATATATACTGTATATAAATCTATTTTAAATTGTAAAAAAGGTTCACAATATTATTGTTTTGCTGTATGTTTGCTCAAATAAAATCAGCCTTGGTGAGAGTAATGGACTTTAAAAGACAAAAAGGTTATTGAAAAATGTTATTGACTTTTGAACATTGTATACTAATATAAATTATTTGATTTGTATAAATTAGCATTACTTAGTATATTATGATCAAACTATATTAAAAAGTAATAAAAATCTAAGTATTCTAACAAAGTAAAGAATAATAAATTTACAAATTAACATTTACCTTAAGTAGATAAAAATAAATGCTGTAAAAACTGTTCTTCATTGTTAGTTCATAATATCTAATTAATTAACCAAGGTTAATAAATTAGATGTTAAGTAAAAGTATTGCCCACAATGCACTGTGCATGGTCTGCCACTGCGCTGTGCTGCTATCCCCTGTGTGTGTGTGTGTGTGTGTGTGTGTGTGTGTGTGTGTCTAACAGAGATTAGCCATTAACTGCAAATAAATAATCTCAAAGAAAGCCAGCAGTCTATCAAAAATGTACCTTCCTTCAAGCCTGGATACAAAACAGATGGATCACCTACTAGACAAAGAGATACTGTACGCAAGATTGTTTTTATGTTTGCAGTTGGTTTGTTATGATGGCTCTGTTGGCCTGTTGCATGATGGGAGGACGCAGCACGCTTGATTTGCATGGCCCAGTGCTGAGAGCAGCAGCAGCTCTACGTACGCCCTCTTCTGTCCAACATGGAGAAGCCATCTCTCTAACTTTCTTTACTTTAAATGGCAAAGACGCAGAACATCACTCACAATTTTCTCTTTCTTTTATTCTCTCTCCTTCCCTTCTCTGTGTCTGTATTTCTTTTCCTAATTCACATTGTCTGTTTTCTGTCTTGGATTTACATTTTCTTGGCATCCACATCTGACGGATGGACTCGACTCAACACTTTTTCATCATGTCTGCAATTGATTTTTCATTTCATTTTTACTTTACATTAATGTTGGAACCACCACAACGGTCACGTCACCACATCCTGTGCATGTCGCCCCATTCTGTTTGCCCCTGCCACCACTCCCTCGTCACTGTCCCTCCGTCCCTGCCCCTCTATGCAGCATTGGGACCAGGGAGGGGGTAACTCAGAAGAACCTGAGCGGCTTATTGCCCATACGTGACTTCAGGCTGGACCCCAGTCTGCTCTACTCTCTGCCCCTTCTGGCCCTGAGCCCAAACCTGCTCATCGTCTGGGTGTTCCTCAGCATAGCCTACCTGCTGGCCAAACTCCGCTGCAGCTGAGCCTGAGACCCCCTTTTCCATTTTTCTTTCTCTCTTTCCCTCACCCTGGCTATCTCAGCACTTCCTTTCTCTGTTTTTCTGTTTCTTCCTCCTCTGGATGAGGAGCTTGATGGCTCTGTTGGCCTGTTGCATGATGGGAGGACGCAGCACGCTTGATTTGCATGGCCCAGGGCTGAGAGCAGCAGCAGCTCTACGTACGCCCTCTTCTGTCCAACATGGAGAAGCCATCTCTCTAAATTTCTTTACTTTAAATGGCAAAGACGCAGAACATCACTCACAATTTTCTCTTTCTTTATTCTCTCTCCTTCCCTTCTCTGTGTCTGTATTTCTTTTCCTAATTCACATTGTCTGTTTTCTGTCTTGGATTTACATTTTCTTGGCATCCACATCTGACGGATGGACTCGACTCAACACTTTTTCATCATGTCTGCAATTGATTTTTCATTTCATTTTTACTTTACATTAATGTTGGAACCACCACAACGGTCACGTCACCACATCCTGTGCATGTCGCCCCATTCTGTTTGCCCCTGCCACCACTCCCTCGTCACTGTCCCTCCGTCCCTGCCCCTCTATGCAGCATTGGGACCAGGGAGGGGGTAACTCAGAAGAACCTGAGCGGCTTATTGCCCATACGTGACTTCAGGCTGGACCCCAGTCTGCTCTACTCTCTGCCCCTTCTGGCCCTGAGCCCAAACCTGCTCATCGTCTGGGTGTTCCTCAGCATAGCCTACCTGCTGGCCAAACTCCGCTGCAGCTGAGCCTGAGACCCCCTTTTTCCATTTTTCTTTCTCTCTCTCCCTCACTTTGGCTGTCTCAGCACTTCCTTTCTCTGTTTTTCTGTTTCTTCCTCCTCTGGATGAGGAGCTATGTGCAGACAATGCTGAATTATTTCTGGTTGATTCAGCTCTTCTCTCTAATAGCCATTCTAAAGGTCTTGGTGTTTATTTCTGCCTTACCCCTCTCTCTCTCTCTCTCTCTCTCTCTCTCTCTCAAGTGATCGTGGATGAGAAAAGTTTGTACAATAATTTGTGACATATTACAAATATTCTGATTCTATTTTAGAGGGTTGAAAATAGATATTCATATATATTTAAGACATTTATTTATTTATTCAATACTAATTATTCTTTATAATATTGAACTGTTTTATTTGTGTTATTATAACAAACTATTTTTAGGCACATGCATATAGTGTGCTAGTGGTCGATTCAATATGTATATAATAGAGTGCATTAGTGCCTGCACACTTTTTCAGCTGTGTTTGTTCCGGAAGTACTTTTTCCGCTCCATTTTTTTTTTTTCCATTGGGATTTTTAAAAAAGTGTTTGTTAAAATGTTATAAGCCATGTACCAAACCAAACAGCCAAAAGGTGAATCACAACATCATAAACATAAAATTTGAAAAATATGTATTCTGAAATTGGACAAAAGACAAAGGTACAAAACTGTATACTTTAGCTTTAGTGAGGGAAAAAACTACAATCATATTAAGCATTGCAACTTACTATCAAATTAAAAACGAAATTGTTTGCTTCCAATTTCTGATTGGTGGAATTTTCTGTACAGAATCATGGGTAATATAGTTTTTCACCATGAATTCAACTGTTTTGTTTTTCTTAGTTTTTTTAATAATGCGAACAGATGGCTTCAGCAAAAATATATACCATTCAATCTTGAAATCTGTCTTTAAAGGTTTATAAGTCATTGTTAAAAGTAAATTTCCCTATGGAGAAAATGAAATGATTTTTACTTCCGGAACCTGACTTTTGCACTCTATAATGAGATATTGTTATTCTGTAACAGTATCATGAAATTTTCTAGTTATTTTTGTGGTCGATTTTGTTGCGCCTTCCATGTGTTTCAATCTAAATGCAAAGCCTAAGGCCTGGCCAAAGCTAATCTCAACTATCATCGCACTTGCTTTAAAAATGTATTGCACTTTAGGGTGTTAAGTGTGTTCATGTCTTCCCATGTTTAGCTGGAAGAACACATGTTGCTCTTTTACCAAGATTGGTCTGCACTAACCTGTTTGCAGCCTTTCCAATGACACAATTAAATTTGGCCAAATAAGATTGTATTTTCAGTCAGGGAAATCGAAATATGCACTTGAGAATTACTTTTCATTAAGATTTTGTTTCATGTCTATAAATATGTTTTCACTGTCAGCTGACAGGAGGTACTTGGCAATAGCTTTAATGGGTATTTTGTGTAAATAAATGCTCCGGGTTCAGCACAAGATCTGTTGACCGCATCTGAGGCATGCAACCGATTACAAGATCATTTCGGTTTGCCTCTCAATTTTAAAAAACAAACAACCTTATTTACATTAATGCACTAACAGTGAACGTCTACGGAGTAAAATGTACAATTTTGAAAATACAACCATGTACAGCTTCCATTATAAGTGCATTACTGCAGATTTGTTTCTTTAACAATGTCTAGATTGCGTTGGTTGAATTTTTGCTTGTGTCAAATCTGGAACAGACTTTTAAGATGTATCTGTTTAGATACCAAGAGTATCCACATGTTGCTTTAAGTAAAGACACTTATGCAGTAATGATGAACAGAATGTATGTTCTTTTACCAAAACAAATCACTTTGTTTCCTAACCATTGCATTCAGGCTGCAAATCATCAGACTTCTTCCCTTCTTTATATGTAAATATATATTTGATATGTAAATGTTTACGATAATGATTGGGAATGAGATCATTTTACAGGACTCTGTTTAATTGTGCTTCCCTTTGTGCCAAATTAGAAATGGCCTCTCTGTGCTTTGTAAACATGCCACGGTCAGTACATCTGCTGTTTACAAGTTAGCACCGCTTGATCTTACATGCTCTAAAATGCTGCCCAATACAAGAACTTTATGTATAAAAAATAACCCTCACCAGGCCGCAGAAAAGTGTGCATTTCAACTGACCCACTAAAGAAAATGACTGTCTCAAAATATCTCCATTCATTCATTTATAATGATGTTGCAGCTCTGGGAGTCTGTCTTTGCTAAGTTTGCTTTAAAATGTCAGAGATGATGCCTAGACTTTTTCCTGTATGTTTTAAATCATGTTGGATAATGTTTCTGAGATTACATCTTATACAGCAAGTTGGAGAAAGGTTTTGATGACTAAGTTTGAAGTCTCATAGGTTAGATAGAGACAGTCTCAGTTTAGCTGAATGTCATTGGTAGGTTTAAACGAATAGAATTTAAAGATTGGTCTCAGTTTAGGTATGATCGTTTTAAATTTTGAGCCTTGGTTTTAGGTAAGGCTGCATTATTATGACAAAAATTCAAATATTATTATGATTATTTCCCATGATATTGTAATCTCAGTTATGAATTTCATTTGATAAAATTTATTTTAAAACAGAAATACAGGTTATTACAAAAAATGTGACTGATTAACACAATGTATGTGTTTGTGATTGGTTACAATGTTTAATCGGGGAAAAAAACGTTCTAAAACAGAATGTTGTACTAGATGCTGACAAAATCCTAATCAAAAGTTTTTGGATTAATTATGCAGCCCTAGTTTTAGGGAGAAGTTGTAGATTTTAATCGAAATTTTTGTTAAAAGTTATTTTGTCGTGCATATCACTGTTGAAATTTCTCATTTTTGACACTGATGTAGTTTTAATTATTGTACGTTTTTACAATGATATTTAAGAGAGATATGCTCACAGATTTTTGGATTGATCTTGCTTTGTATTTATTTCTTTTTATGGTAATAACCTTATCTTTTATGATGCTTTCTTAGATATATTATGTCTGTCTAGAACAGAATTCTGCTGTATTAAAATGCTATCATCAATATCTGATGCCATTAAAGAGAGAATATAAAACCATTGACATCTCTTGTGTACTTTTTATCATGATAAAGCATATCTTTCTCTGTGCATGTTGGGATCTAAAACATGGTTAAATATCTACTAATACAATGCAATACTTTTTTATAACAATTTACATGTTGGTTGGAAAAATTATTTTATCAAAATGCATGGTTCCTTTTAAATATCCGTCAATAGAGAAATATACTTCATGCTCATAATGGTGTTCTATATCTACTACTACTAATAATAATTTAGAATACTTAGTACTTATTTTGAAAGGCCATCAATAGGGAAACCTGATTTTTGGCACCATTGGTGTAGTTTCGGCTTCTGCAGGCAAGAGGTGGACACCTTACCAGACAATCCCTGATCCCATGTTGATTGCCCACAACAAAAACATATCTCATCATTGTTCTCCTGATGAGCTACTGCTGCCCTCTTGTGTTCTGTAGACCAGTGAGTCTCAACCTATTCGCATACCGGACCGCAGTCCAATTCAGAACCATCCTCAAGGACCCCCAGAACAAAATTGACTTGTATATTTTGTGTCTTTGTGAGGACCAAATGCAGTCAAGTATAATTCAAGTTAGCTGACTTGTCCAGTATTTGGTCATATCATCAGCTATATTGGATTTTTCTTTCATGGGAACATGTCATGTCAAAATATACAAAAATTCATACTTTATACGGACCCCCTGGCCTTATGTCAAGGACCACTAGGGGTCCACGGACCCCTGGTTGAGAAACACTGCTGTAGACCACAATCAGACAGAGATATAACCATTTTATGAAACCATTGACATCTCTTTCTACAGAAAATATTTGAGTATTGTATTTGTAGCTTTATTGAATGACAAACACTTCACATTAGGGGGAAAAAAAGGATGATAATGGAAGTAATAAACATACATTCAATCAAATGTCACTCCTGTTACCTGTACAAAATAATCCTGCCTCTGATAAGTGTCTCAAGGGTAGATAAAGTGGCATCATCAATATATAGATGGGGGGGAGTATATAATAAAAGTTACAATATACACAGCTTTCCTGTAGTAATATGTTAGAGAGACTAACTGTATAATGAAAAGATAAAATAAATTCCTTCTGTGATATAAAACAGCATGCATGAAGTCGAGTCAGCTTAGCAACATTTTTAAGTGAAATGTATATATTCAAATAGATTCTAACCACATTCATTTGTTGTTACTTTTGGCATTTTACTATAACTAGTTTTGAATGTTTAATATCCTGTAATATAACTTCTTTATTATTATTATTCAAGAGATACAGTATGCAGAGGTTGCTTAAAACCTTTAATTGTGGCTCCATGGTGGGACAAAAACTCGACACGTTAGGGGGCCACAACTTGAATTATCCTATTTATACACTCTTAAAAATAAAGGTGCTTCACGATGCCATAGAAGAACCTTTTTGTCTAAATGGTTTCATAAAGAACCTTTAACATCTGAAGAACCTTTCTGTTTCACAAAAGGTTCTTTTTGGCGAAAGAAGGTTCTTCAGATTACAAAAAGGTAAGAAAGAGATGGTTCTTTAAAGATCCTTTGACTGAATGGTTCTTTGTGGAACCAAAAATGGTTCTTCTATGGCAGGGGTGGCGAACTCCGGTCCTGGAGAGCCTCAGCCCTGCAGAGTACAGCTCCAACCCTAATTAAAACTCACCTGCCTGTAGCTTTCTGGTAACCTTTCAGACCTTGATTAGCTTGTTTAGGTGTGTTTGATTAGGGTTGAAGCAAAACTGTGCAGGGCTGCGCCTCTCCAGGACTGACGTTCGCCACCCCTGTTCTATGGCATCGCTTGAAGAACCTTTTGAAGCACCTTTATTTTTAAGAGTGTACTCGGAACTCAAACTCTCCCACAATCTATCTTTAAAATTAATCGTAAGGACTCGACACCATGGGTAACTTGTCATAAATGGTAAAAATACTTCCTTAAAGTGACCTTTGTTAAGGGCTTTCACAAAATATGCAGCATTGTTCCTGTGACATAACAGTTTGATATCTCCAAAAAAATTGCATCATTCAAAACTTTCTTTTTATAAGCCAATATTTACTATGGATAGAGCCCTTATGACCTCATCAGGTGACAAACTTGCATTTCAGAATTTCCCTGTTCACTATTCATTGCAATGTATGAAACATAATTCAATTATGTATGCAACATAAGGAATATTATAATATGTGTGGAATATTATGTATGGAACATAAGTCAATCTATTCCACATGCATAACCTTTTAGAAATTTGTATGTCATGTAATTGTAATTAGTTGTAATCTAAATATAATACACTACTGTTCACCAAAAATGTATTGCTTTACAGCAGGGTTCCTCAAATCTTGCCCTAGAGGGCCAATGCGCTGCAGAGTTTAGCTCCGACCCTGATCAAACTCACCTACCTGAGATTTTCTAATGATCCTGAAGACACTGATTAGCTTGCTCAGGTGTGTTTGATTAGGGTTAGAGCTAAACTCTGCAGGAAAGTGGATCTCGTGGGCCAGATTTGAGGATCCCTGCTTTACAGTAACGAATTGCTTTTCGATTTGTTTCATCCCATTGTTTTGGGATCTTTTGTTACATTATCCTGGCATTGAAAAAAAGAGCAATGTTTCAGATTAATCTGAACTTTCATGCCATACTTTCTGCAGCATTTCCCTAGGTGCTATTGTTTTGCAGGGTGTTTCTCATGGACCTTCATAGCCCAAATGTTTGTAACTGTTTACCATCAAATATATGTTCTTTTGCCCATTTTTATCCTTTCTTCTCATTTAAGAAATGAGAGGTGAATAGGGTAAAAAACAATTAACTAATCGTTATCACCCTGCTTACCCAGTTGATTGAATACATTGATAATTGCAAAAAAATTGTATTACAAGTTTTCTAAAATGTTATTTAAATATGCAAATGATGCATTATTTATTGAAATATGTGCTAATTTACATACATTTCTAATACAAACATTTGAACACTGGATTAAGTCTGTTTCAACATTTGTGTTTAATTTATTTTTGACATATTAGAGTCAAACATTTTTGCAGAGGTAATTTTGGGTATCTCTTTTTTTGTCACTCCATAATTCAGAAAATACTTTGAACAGTCAGAAAACAATACATTTTCACAATTTCTTTGGGAATGAAATGTATAAAATCGAACAAATTATATATGAACAAATCCGTAAGTGCTACTGAAGTGGAGATTTATGGCTCAGTTTAGGAGAAAAAAAGAATTTTGAGAAAACGGCCTTTAAAAAATATGTATTGTAATTGAAATCTATTGACACAAATCGATAAAGTGCTATAAAAGAAACACTTAACAGTGTCTTTTGGATGTTTTCTTTCCACTAGTCTGAAAAAAAAACGTTATGAAAAGCCAAAAAGCCCAAAATCTCAAAATTGACAGGTGCGTGGAAAAAAAAGTGCATCTGCACCCTTAAAATTGCATCTCAGTGTCTTCACTGGTGCAGATAATGTTGGTGTTTAGCTTGTACTATTTATAATGAAGCTTTAAACTTGATACTTAACTAAATGTTAATTTATTGTTTTATTTAATTTTTGGGCGCTTTGCCTGTCCACTTCTCTCCGTGTGTTTCTAGAAAACATATGTTGAAGATCATAAATATATAAATCTCTACCATTTTCAAGTTCACTCATATTGAGCAGGCTTTTCTTATTGCACCCATTAAAAAACCCTCTAAACGGCTTCCACAAGCCATCAATAAAGCATATAGGACAAAATGAGTATCTGATTTGTGATCATCTATGAATCACATTGTTTTTACATTATAGGATTTCCTAGCTTGCTCAAGCAATAGCGCCACTGTGTGGAGAAAGGGTGGTGGCGCTATGTGCTGCCATAACACTTTTTTACGCGATTTCTTTTTTTTTCTTTTTTTTAACAACACTAGTGCTGTGGTGCGCGCGCACCTGACACCTGTCACACTGTGACGAGTTGCAGGCTCTTCTGATGCACGAGAGCAGCAGAGCGGATCTTCACGAGCGCGGGGAAACACACACACACAGATCACCGAAGCTGGATCAAGCCGTCCGAAACCCTCCAAACTTCCACTGGGCCGGGCCAGCAGGCCAGCAACCCCCGATCTGGACCGATGTGCTGGCCGAGATGTCTCGACACATTTATATTAGGAATAAGATCGGCGAGGGAATCCAAGCGCCTATATTTCAGGTGACAATGTTAAGACTTGAAATAAGAAATAATGTTTACTTTTTAATTTTGTTGGATGACTTTATATAACTAAACAAACACAGCTATTATTATATTTAATATATGAATGTAATCGTTTTAATTGGTGTTTGCTTGGTATTCTCAGTAGAACTGTTTTGAGTGCTGCTAAACTGAAGTGCACTTTGTTTTCAGAGGTTTCTGTAATTTTGTTGTTTGTGTGGGGGTGTCAAGGGCACTTGTATGAATTAAAACGCAGAGACTACGATTCACTTTATCAAATCACGTGAAATATTTGAAGCAGAAGTAACCAATTTTGCTAGTTACTTTTATTATTTGAGTATATAGAGAATTCTTTCTAACTACATAAAGAACAACCCTAATGCAGTGAAATGAGTACACTGACCCACTTTTTGGTGGCCCCATTAAGCAAACTTTATAAAGAACAAGCTCTCTGTCTATCCTCAACACTACAATAGAGCCCTAGAGACCCCTAGAAATAGATACAAATCAGACCTGGCTAATTAATGTGTCCCTGTAGTCACTATTTTTTGTCAGTCCAGCCCCATCTCTCTCTCACTCTCCTTCTCTTTTTTGCTCTTTCAAACTTCCAGTGTGTATGTACAGCGGTATTTTTTTTTCTTCCCAGGGGTAAAGAAGGGTTAAAGGGTTAGTTCACCCAAAAATGAAAATTAGCCCTTAAATTACTCACCCTCAAGTCATCCTAGGTGTATATGACTTTCTTCTTTCAGACGAATCCAGTCGGAGTTATGTAAAAAATAGTCTTTGATCTTTCAAGCTGTTTCATGGCACTCAGCGGGTGTTGCATGCATCAGTCCAAAAGAAGTGAAATAAAAAGCGCCCATCCATAAAACAAAAAAAGTGTCTCACACGGCTCCGGGGGGTGAACAAAGGCCTCCTGTAGCGAATCGATGCGTATTTGTAAGAAAAATATCCATATTCAAAACGTAATAATCACTTTAATGTAGCTTGCGCCAAAAGTTGAACAAGGAAGCAGCTCCGGGCGGATGACGTATGAGGTCGGCTTTGTACATGCGCCACTCAGAAGTGACGAACGCTGAAGCGCAGGGGAGAGATCAAAACAAAACAGTCACTTATTAGAAGTACAAAACTAGGATTTGTAAAGAAGAATGTCGGAGGATTTCGATATAAGCCAAGAGGAGACTGGTTTTCCTTTGCTAAAGTAAGGAAACGTTGCTTCCTTTGCTCCTGTTAACAAACGTTGGTTTTCACGAGACTCACCGGCGCATGCGCAACGCTGAACTCATACGTCATCAGCCCGGAGCTGCTTCCGTGTAAACTGTTGTACACCTAGGATGACTTGAGGGTGAGTAATTTATGAGCTAATTTTCATTTTTGGGTGAACTAACCCTTTAATATATTTATGTAACCTCAAGCTGAATGTCCGCTCTATACTTTTTCCACGTCTGCTGTTACAGTGGGGAAAAAAAGTGTTTAGTCAGCCACCAATTGTGCAAGTCAGGCCTCTCTCATCTTTTTAAGTGGGAGAACTTGCACAATTGGTGGCTGACTAAATACTTTTTTTCCCCACTGTATATAAGTCCATTAATAAATTGCACAGATAATTTACATTGATCTCTCATAGAAGTGTCTCTCATTACCGAATGAACTTCCCTCATTAATGGTCACTAATGCACTGCGCACAGTTTTATCTGTTGGCACCCTCCCTCCCATCACCCACATTTGGATAACTTCCATGTTTCTACACTCTGTCTAGTCTAGTCATATTTTACCTATTTCTAATTGATTTCTATGCAACATTCAGTCTATATTTCTGTCTGATATTATTATTTATGTTTTGCAAGTGTTTTATACCATTAATAGGATCTCAACATGCAAGTTAAATAATATTTGGGTAATAAATTCAAAACTGATCATGCTGCTTATCTGATTCTGATCTATTAATATCAAGTATCAAAAATATGGGACTAATGCTAATTTTATATTCTCCAAAGTAAATGGTTGAGAAATGATCAACCATATCTGAAGCAATTCATTCATGATTTCGTTATTGCTCCCTCTACAGGTGAACAGGGGAACATATTCAAGGCGCAGTCGACTGAAGAGGTCTGATGGCAGCACCACCTCCACCAGTTTTATCCTGAGACAGGTAAAGAAATGGCCCATTTCTGAAAATGACCAAGCCTGTTTCTCAGAGCCAATCTGGATCAATAAAAAATTGATGACTCCTTTTTTTGGCTCAAATAAATTATTACCTCAAGACCAGTCACCTAAACATTAGGGATTATAATCAGACACATTTAAAGGTCAGTGTAGCAAACACATTCTATGTCCTTATTCATTGCTTTGTTCAGAGAGGCTTGATGTGGTGTGATGCTTGAATTGTCAACTAAAACTTTTTTCTTCCTCTAATCACTGTAATCACTACTCAGACTGTTCATATTATTTAATGGACCTGAGATAACATGAACTAACAATTAACAGGTGTATTTTTATTAACTTAGATTAACAGATTAATAAATAATGTGACAAATCTATTGCTCAGTATTAGTTAATGGTAGATAATGCATTAACTAACATTAACTAATGGGACCTTATTGTAAAGTGTCAGCATAACTTTTAACTAACTATTGTTAACCCTTTAATTATTACACACACGCACACATATATCTGTGTGTGTGTGTGTGTGGGTGTGTATGTGTGGTTTAGATTGAAAAATATTTAGAAAGTATGTTAATAAAAGTGGAAATGAAACTTAAAATATATTTATATATAATTTATTATATAAAAATATGTGACCCTGGACCTCAAAACAAAGTAATAAGGGTCAATTTTTTTAAATCAAGATTTATACATCATCTGAAAGCTGAATAAATAAGCTTTCCATTGATTGTTATGATAGGACAATATTTGGCCGAGATACAACCATTTGAAAATCTAGAATCTAAGGGTGCAAAAAAATCTAAATACTAAGAAAATCGCCTGTAAAGTTGTCCAAATGAAGTTCTTAGCAATGCATATTACTAATGAAAAATTAAGTTTTGATATATTTACGGTAAAAAAATTGACAAAATATCTTCATGGAACATGATCTTTACTTAATATCCTAATGATTTTTGGCATAAAAATAAAAATTTATAATTTTGACCCATACAATGTATTTTTGGCTATTGCTACAAATATATACGTGCGACTTAAGACTGATTTTGTGGTCCAGGGTCACTTATATATAATTCCTTTATTGTATATATTTATACTTATTATTGTTTATATATTTATACTATTTACAAAAACGTATTTGTTTTAATTTATTCATGTTTTGTTCAAATTTGGTAAGATTTAAAAATAGAGAGAATGTAAATTAATAAAATTGTATTTTTATTATATTATATATTATTTATACATAATCAACAAAAATGTAATTAAACTTTAATTATTATTACATAAATATATAATTGATTTATTGTATATATATTTATACTTATTATTTATATTTTTTTACAAATTATTTGTTTTAATTCATATTATGTTAAAATGTGGTTAGATTTGAAAATACATATGTTCGTAAAAAAAAATAATACAACAAAAAAAAAAATTTAATTAGTGGAGAAAATTGCATCACTGCAAATAAAGGGGAACATCCTGGAGGGAAAAAAACTGATTGTACATTCAAATAAAATGACAGATGGAAAGAGAATGAAAGAGGCAGAGGGAGGCTCTCTCTCTCATCAGCGCTCACAGTCAAGGAGAACACACGTCAGCAGCAGCTCTGACTGGAAGGCTGCTCGGCCAATCAGCATGCAGCTGGTCAACTGTGTCATCAGCCTGAGATTGAGAAAGGGTTCTCTCTCTCTCTTTCCCTCTTACTCTCTCTCTCTGATGCGGGGAGCAGCGCCGTGCCGTGTGTGTGTGTGTGAGTGTGTTGCTGAGAGATGATGAAACATCCGCGTCAGTGAGCCGTTGGGAAGCTTCTCCCTGCCTGAGGATGTGAGAGAATTGGAGGTTGAACGAGGGATCCACTCCATCCTGCAGGCCGAGCCGTCTGCACAAGCCTGCTTTCCCTCTTTGTCTCTCTCTCCATCCTCTCTTACTCGTGAGGCTTCTCTCACCCTTTTTTCCCTCCTTGTTCTTCTTCTGTGGAGCAAGGGGATCGTCATCCCCCCCCCCCCATCGATTATTTTTCTTGGTGGTGGCTCCCTCCTCTACCTCTTCCTCCTCCCCCTCTCTCTCCATCTCCACCTCCTCCTCCTCTCTCTTTTTTTCTATATTCTTCAAGAGGACCTCTTTGGAATAGCAAACCTCCATGTATGACAATTTGTACCTGCATGGATTTGAAGACTCGGAGGCGGTGAGTTATTTTTCTCGTGATCAGAATTGGCTATGGCTATATATAGTTTTTTCCCACTGGCTATATGTGTGTGTGCGTGCGTGAGCGCGCTCTTGTGTGTGTGTGTGTGTGTGTGTGTGTGTGTGTGTGTGTGTGTGTGCTGAACACTGGCTCAGCTGTGCTGCACATTCAGGGCCTGCGAGACTCAGTGTACCATGATTTTCTAAGATGCAGCCCACCGATCTCCGTGGGTGCACTTTTGGAAGATGCTCTTCAGAGGCTTGTGTGTGTATATGTCTTTCAGTATGTGTTGTTAATAGCACACATTCCCATTGAACATTCACTCCTATTCCATACGGTGCGTTTAAAGAACGCTACAGCAAAAATAAAAAAGAATAATAATATTAATAAAAAGCACGTCTCATTTATTTTTCAGTTGGACTTTTTTCTGGATTACAATATGTGTCTTTCCATTCATTGTAGGACTTGCCTGATCTCTTTAAGATTGAAATTGTTTAGGGTGTTATCATATAGTTGAAATTGTAAAGGTTTATTTACTGTCTGGCTGTTAAGGGGGCAGAGCCTTTTCTTGCTGATGTGTAGAATGTAATGAGTCACATGGCTTAGGTGCCCCACTTGAACGCCTTAAAATGAAATCAAGACAGAAGTCTGGAAAAGATTGTGTGTGTCTAAGTTAGAGGCCCTTAGAACCCACTGTAATTCTCATCCGATGTGTTTATTTCGATGTTCTGAATGTATAGAGACCATTTATTTAAGATACAGATCATAATCCATAATCAGGTTCCTGTGCTTTTGAGGAAGAACATATGGTATATCATGTTGTTTGTATATTTAATCAGTATTATTAACATATAGCTTTTAACTAGGGCACATAAAATCATTTAAAATATGAATCAGCAAGCATAATGTTCAAGAAATTGTTTGTTTAAAGTTAATAATAAAATGCACACTGTGTAAGTCGTGTAACTGAGTAGTTTGTTCTAACACTGGGGGAAAAAAAATTCACTCAGAAATGGTTAAGAATTGATTACAAAAAAAATGCAAGTAACACATTGAGTTGAATGCGAAATTTTGAAGTATAAAGTTTTTCTTGTAAAATGTACTCCAGTAATTTACTTAAAAAAAAAAAATTTTTTTCTTACAGTGTATGACTGGTTTTATATTATTCTACATACTTCAAATGGAAGTCTAGGAGAATTTATATCTGTTTAACAATAAAATACAGATTAATTTGAACCAAGTTCATTGTGCTTTGCATTGCAAATCCAGTGAAATTGTGGATATAAAGCTTAATAAAAGCTAAATTTTGTTAATGAGAAAAATATCTGTTTAACTTCATTTTGCGCCATTGTCTCTCTTTATGACATTTATATATGAATCTTTAAAGGCCCTCCAAAGTCACTCTTCAGCAAAAAAAGACTATTATCTCGTCAAAATCGAGGATGAAAGCCATTCATTTGAAATTTGGTGGGGGGGTTTTTCTTTTGCACACAATCATCACTTCTGCTGTGAAAGATAAGCAAACTTGTGCATTTTTTGTTTCCCGAATCAGGCATTTTGTGATTGGACTCACCGGCCTCAATTGGGTCCCTGCTGAAGTAAGCTTGTGCGGAGCGGCTGCCTTCAGGGAAAAAGTGTTTCGCCATAGGCAGCGTGCTGAAATTTTTTAGCCGACTGCGAGGCTTTTTCGCTCTCTCTCTGCCTCTCTCTCTAATGCAATATTGACCCGATCATTCTTTTCACTGACTTGAGCTAATGTTGTTTCCAAATTGGATTAACAGAATACAGCTTCCTAGCTTCACTTCACTTTGAGCAGTATCTCATTAATTAGAGGACTATGTACATGCTGGTTGGATCTTCTTTATTATCTTAAAAGGGGAACGTGTAAATGCCTAACTGTATATGTTTTTATTGAGCTGATAGGGATCAGGTGCTTCTCTCTTGAATGTTATGGAGCCGTCTGAGGACTTTATTTCAGGTGAAAATGTTCAGATTGTGTATTGTGAAGTTTTTCATGGTCCTGAGAAACAAGCAGTGAAGGTATGTATGCTCAATGGAAGCTATCTTGATATGTTGTTGAATAAGAATGCAGAGAGGATATCCTAGAGTCTGTTGAGTTTTTCAGGGCTTCTTTTGAGAAGTATTTGTTCTCTAACTTATTACTATTTGGAGTAGTTAATGAAGTTTGCTGACAACTGATGGATGATCGAATCCGACAAGGAGACACATTGGAAGCTCATAATTACACATATTTATAGCTTTTATTTTGAAGATTTCCATCCAGCTGCAGATTTTTTTAAGATATGTAAGTTTCATAGCCTGTTACTCAATTTAGGATTCAGTATTTTTATATTTGTCTCAGACAGTGATATGTATATGAAAATATTTGATGACTGATGTTTATCCATAATATGCTGGGTAACATTTTACTTTATTGTATCCATGTTACACACTGCACATTTGTGTGACAATACCAATAGCAAAGTTTAATTAAAAATTACATATGAAATAAATGTCAATTATTACCTAGTTTATTATCTAGTAAATGTATCTTGTTTTTAAAGACTATGTAATGTAGACTGTGATCAAAAGGAGCTTACCTGAAGTCACCTTCAGCTCACAGGTGTATTTTTCTGTATCTCTGCATCTCTGTGGCTGACAGCTCTAGTAACAGAGGTACAGGTGGGTTTTTGCTGACCTGGGTTTGCAGCGGTCTGAATAGGGAAACATGAGAATCACAGACGTAATGAAAATCCAGCAGACCAAACCAATGTGAATAATGACCAAGGAAGACGGTCCAAGTGCATTGTAAAAAAAAAATAAAAAAACTTTTTTTTTACTCCACGTCTCCTTGTTCCTCGTTCCGCGCTCCTCCTAGCACAGATCGTGACAGAAGAACCGACCAAAAAACAGTAACTTCTGTGTGTTTACCCTCCGTTTTTGTTTCCGTGTTTTTTCCCTCAAGTGTTCTGTTTCCGTTGTGTTCTATGGATCCCCTCCTTCGCCCCGAATTCCTCCTCCTCCTGCTGGAGCAGGGGGAGCGCTCGCTCGAGGACCATACCAGACTGTTTCTGGCCCTCACCGAACTTACCAGCTACCCGTGCAGAGCACCGTCGTCCGAAGATGGTCCTCAAGCGGAATTCGCCGCCTTCGTGGAGTGGACTCTAGCGAGAAATGGATCTCCGTCCCCTGCCTGTTCCCAGGAGAATCTTGCCAGTTCCACTCCCGACCCAGTGCCCAGCCCACCATCTCCCCGATGCGCGGAGCGCATGCTCGAGCCCACCGCTGATGGAGAGTCGGAGCCCGCCACGACCGACGAGCCATCGCCGCACGCAGCGACAGAACTGAGGATCGGATCGCAGAAAGGAGCTCCGCCCCCCTGCGCTGAGGGTGAGCTGAGTATGGCGCGGCGTATGTGCCAAAACGGAGAGGGGAGGGCTCCTTCCCCCGAATCCAGTTCAGAGCACCCTCCAGTGCTTGCTCCTAGAAAGCGGCCTCCAGTGCCCGCTCCTAGAAAGCGCCCTCAAGTGTCCGCTCCTCCAGAGCGCAATCCTGTTCCTGGGTTCAGACTAGAGGGGGCTCCTGATCCAGAGTTTAGCCATGAATGCCCGGAGGCTCATGAATGCCCGCCCTCCCACCTGCTCCTGCCTCCTCCTCCGCTGTCAGCTGGCAGCCCCTCTGCTCGCCCTCAGCCCACCATCTATGCGGTGCAAGCTCTGCGGGACTGCCATCCTCCAGCATCGCCGTGGCTGGAGTTTCCCTTGACTCTGCTTCCAGCCTCTAAGCCCCGGACTCCGCCTTGGCCCATTGACCCGTCTGCTCCACCATGGCTCCTAGCTCCCTCCTCTCCGCCGTGGCCCGGCAGTCTACTAGCTCCGCAGGGCTCCCTCATCCCTCCGGCTCCGCCTTGGTCTGGCGTCGACCATCCTGCGCCTCGGGACTCCACTCCTCTGGCTTCGCCTCGTCCCTCCGGCTCCGTCAGGCTCCTTCATCCCCTCGGCTCCTCCTCAGTCCTCGGTCGCTCTGGCTCCACCGCGGCCTCCTGGATCCACATCTTCGCGTCGGTCACCAGTGCCATCTGCTCCGCCTAGGACCTCCGGAACCTCCCCGTCGCCCTGGCTCATCGGCTTTCCGTCTCCGCCTTGGGCTCCTCCACCACCTGCTCTGCCGCCGTTGGTCGGCCCCCTGGAGTCGGCGGCCATTCCTCCTCCATGGCTCCTCCCTCCGTCAGCTCCACCGTGGGTCAACATTATGGCTGTGGCCTGGGTCCAGCTGGACTCCTCCTGCTCCAAGCCCCTCCTGTCTCCTCCCTGGCTCCTCCCTCCATCGTCTCCTCCCTGGACTCTGTCTACCGGCCCCTTCCCGGGTGTCCGTCCTCCTCCGGAACCTCCTCCTTAGTACCCCCCCCCTTGTTGTTCTTCTTCCGGGAGGGGGGCAAATTGTCAGGGTTCTGGACTATCTTTGTGTTTTGCTCCCCGTGACCCAGTTTCTCCTCGTGTTAATTGTGTTAATTTGATTGATTCCATGCACCTGTGTTCCCCTGATTGCCATGTATTTATTAGCCCCAGTCTGTGTAGTCTTCCTTTGTCGGTTCTGCTTGTTGAATGTTGTGAAATTCCCGTCATTCCCAGGATTAAAGACTGTTTATGACTGTTAAGACTTTATTGTATCCATGTTACACACTGCACATTTGTGTGACAATACCAATAGCAAAGTTTAATTAAAAATTACATATGAAATAAATGTCAATTATTACCTAGTTTATTATCTAGTAAATGTATCTGTTGTTTTTAAAGACTATGTAATGTAGACTGTGATCAAAAGGAGCTTACCTGAAGTCACCTTCAGCTCACAGGTGTATTTTTCTGTATCTCTGCATCTCTGTGGCTGACAGCTCTAGTAACAGAGGTACAGGTGGGTTTTTGCTGACCTGGGTTTGCAGCGGTCTGAATAGGGAAACATGAGAATCACAGACGTAATGAAAATCCAGCAGACCAAACCAATGTGAATAATGACCAAGGAAGACGGTCCAAGTGCATTGTAAAAAAAAAATAAAAAAACTTTTTTTTTACTCCACGTCTCCTTGTTCCTCGTTCCGCGCTCCTCCTAGCACAGATAGTGACACCCATTAGATCTATTACAGTTTTTCACCATGCTGAGTAAGGAAACTTACCGTTAACAAATGAACAGGTTATTAGTGTAGCATATTTGCAGTCTTTTACCACTCTAATTTTGATCATATTTTACAGTGTGGATGGTTTGATCTTTTTTATGCACAAACTTTGTCAAATGTCAAAATGTATCTTTGGAGAAATTGTTTCAGGTAAATCTCTTTTCTGTGTCATTCTCATATTTGGAATGTGGGTCTTATTTTCGACCAGTGTTGGGAGTAACGCATTACAAAAGTAATAATATTACAGTAGTATATTACGTTTTGCTGTAAGGCAGTAATATAATACTAATAAAATTTGGTTAATATTATTACTCGTTACAATCTCAGTAACGCAAGTTACAACAACATATTACTCACACAGCAAAACAGCACCAGAGAAAAAATTCCGCGGGTAAAATAGTTAGTCTATCTTCTGTTGCTGGAATTAGATGGTTGAGATGACTGCAGAGACGGATTCTACATTTGTGAGATGGACACACTCCTGTTATTTTCAGTTAATCGGAGAAAAGGATAAGAATGCTTAGCAATATGTGCGACACCAAACTCTCAACATGGAGAAATAGCACGAGTAAAACCTGGAAACACCTGGACTGGTGCCACTAACAGTAAGCTATCGGAGAGAGCTGCGGGGTCGGAGAAGAGAAAAAAGGCGGCGACGAGCGCAGAAAAGCAACAAAAATTAAGTTTAACTAAAAATAACAAAATCTGTTTTTGTTAAATCATAGTCTATATGACTATGCCGTTCCGCGCCGTATGGCACGCTGTGAGGCTATTAGTTTAGGCTACTCCTCACTGAGTGTTTTTTTTTAAAGTTTTTTTAAACAGGTCTATTAATTTATACAATTGAATTATAGGCATATAATTAAAATTATTAACACTGCAGTCATCGATGAAAATTAAAAGCAGCTTTATTTCGTGCTCAGATTTTCAAAAACAACCTTTTTAACGCGAAATACGTTTCTTCTCATGTTTTTCACTATATGGGCCACGAGAAATATTAAGGGAATAATTTAAGACAGATATATACCATCATCTGTTGGTAATATTGAAGTCATTTTGTCTCTTGTTGTCTCAGAGAATATGCGACGTTAATGCAGCGTTAGAAAGCTCCGTCAGTTTTTTTACTTTCACTTTCTCTATAGTGCAGTTTGCGCTTGCTTGTGTTGCTTGACCTCGCCCCCATAATATCAATCGTTTATAGGCCACATATTAGGCATTTTTTTTTATGTTTATTTTTTTAATATTAATGCAAGTGACACCAAAAATAAGGGAACATAATTAGGAAATGTGCCTGGGGCTAAGCAAGTTTCTGATGGGCCCCGTCAAGCCCCGCCCTAGCGCCGCCACTGATTAGCCTAATTCGTTTTGGCTTGTTTAGCAAATAGCAACTTATATTTTTCATTCTTGTTTTCTTCTGAAACCGTTCAAATTTGCCTATAGGCTAGGTATTGTGTTTATTGTTTGTACATTATAACATTTGGCTTTATTTACCGGTGTTATTTATGAATGTAATAATGTGGTTTCTGCTTATCTGTGTTTAACCTAAACTACAACGTAACATTAATGTAGACCTACATACCGGCATCTAAATATGATTTTATAATTGTATGCTATATAGACCTACCACATTACCCTCCACTGGGTGTAGAATGAGCAGCAATAAACTACATTTTGGCATTTTATAATACTTCTGTGGATATTTTGGTGAAAGTAACTCAAAAGTAGAGTAACGCATTACAATTCAGAGACCGTAATATTGTAATGTAACTAATTACTTTCAAAAGACAGTAACTAGTAATATATAATGTATTACATTTTGGAAGTAACTTGCCCAACACTGTTTTCGACTTTTGTACCATTTTGTACCACTTCAAGGTTGTGCAAGGTTTATTAACATTATTCAATTTTGCATGAGAATTTGTTTTACCCTAATTCTGACCTGTGAGATTAAAATGTTTTTGATACTCCATCTTTAAGACTCCTATATGTAAATTTCCTCAGTTATGATTCGTTTTACATAGTGGGATATCACAGTCTGCCATTCATCAGAGCGTGCCAAGTATCTGAATGCTGAATAAATATTGACATGCCAGAGGTCATATATTTATGTGCTGAAAATTCGAAACATTCGGAAGATTCAGTAATTGTTCTGATAGGACTGGGCAAAGAAAATGCAACTTTTATAACTTGCCTCCTTTACAGCCATGACCAGACTGCATACATGCAAGTAATGTAGTATGTGCTGTCTGTTCGCAGGGTTCAGCTGATTCCTACACTAGCAGGCCGTCTGATTCAGATGTGTCGTTGGAGGAGGAGAGGCCGGAGGGGGGTAGTCAGGGCCGGCAGGAGCAAGAACAACAGGCTACACTGCAGCTGGAGAGGGCAAAGGTCAGGACAGATACAAATCACACTTACTATGTATTAATCAAGCATATGGAATACTTTAATACACAACAGTATATAGTGCTTATTTACTGGTACGTAGTACTTTTGATTTCAAGATCATTAATATAATAGCCTAATACACTTCTGATATAAACATATTTATTTTGGGATTAATAAAGAGATAATGTGTCCTTTAATCTTGATACCATAAAATTTGATACCATATTAGTGATGATTGATTTAAAAAATAATATTTTATCATAACGTGTCTGTTTTTTAATATTATTTCACTGTGTACTTTTAAGATGCACATGAGCAGAATGTAGAATTTAACTTAAGGAAATGCATCATTCTTCACTAATATTATTTACAACACAGTGTTTTTCCTAATTTTTGTTATTATTAAAGCATAAATGAAAAAATTCCAGTATAAAAGGGTGGACACAGCTATAACAGTGTGGACAATGCAGATTATGATTACACTTATAAAATAAGTAGAATTTATAATACGAGTACAATTAAATAAAAAATGCATATGTCCACCCTATTTGTTGTATATCCAATGAGGTGGACAAGAACAGGCTGTACATTTAGTGTGTAAAAATAGACATTAGCAAATATTCACAAATGTCCAACATCACAAAATAAAGGAAAACATTAATATAACCAACATCAATCTTAAGTTAAAAGTCACAGTATCAGAATGGACAAGTGTTGCATTTTCACATATTACGTATATATTTATATTTATATATATATATATATATATATATATATATGGTGCGCTGGATGAAGACGTGCCTGCGCCAGGAACTGCCATCTCATTTGATGCAAAAGACTTCCTGCACATCAAAGAGGTACTGTGGCCTGCTGGCCCATTAGTGAACAGGTCACTGCTGATTCAGATTCACTGATGACTTTGAAAATAGAAAAATGCTAGGAGGGGATAAAGTTTTTTTCCCAGCTTTTATTTCTTTTGTCCTTTTCTGTGCTCCATATGCAGAAGTTTAATAATGACTGGTGGATTGGGAGGCTGGTGAAAGAAGGCTGTGAGATTGGTTTTATCCCCAGTCCTCTGAAGCTGGAGAATATCAGAGCACAGCTGGAACTGAAGAAAAGCCGTGTACAAGGGTAAGCAGACATACTTACCTAGGTGAATGGAGCATTTGATTTTCCACAACCTCTTAGTCCTTAATATTCTGTCTGTTTATCAACCTGGCAATTAAATCTTGTAAAATTCATATGTCCACCCTATTTGTTGTATATCCACTCCACTGAGTCAATGAGGTGGACAAGAACAGCAAACACATTTAAATTGCATATTATATCTATAGTCACAAATATCCAAAAATGTGCACCACTACATTTTTCAAGGCTCATTTTTATTTATGCAATCTTTGATCCATTAATAAAAAGTTTTTAATGCCATTTCCATGTGTAGAAAACCAAATGCTCTATTATAGTTGCTATTCTATAGATACAGCAGATATAACCAAATATTAAGCCTTATTATAGGATACAATAGACATTATGAAATATTCTTAAAAATATTCCATTCCAAAATGAAAATAAGGGTGGTGGGTTTCAAGAACAGAGATGGCATTATAAAGAAAATTGACTTTCAGTCACTCAGTTAATCTGCGAGCATGGCATTGCTTGAAATTTTAAATTAGATGAACACCCAGATTAAACCCAGAATGTATGGTGGGTTTGCATTTCAGTTTCACACCAGATCTGAATTTTCACCCTTTGTTGTTTTTTTTCTTCAGTTGCCTGTTGCTTTATGTAATCAGGACTGTTATCTTGGCCAAAAACATCATGACTTGATTTTGAACCCGATTGTGCATTGATCACAGTTCACTGTACTTTCACTGCTGCTCATAATCATTGTGTTTTAGCTACAGAAATGCAGATCCAGAGCCAAACTTTTGAGTATCGACATAAAGTCCAGTCTACAGTACAGTTTATTCTGGCCAAGAACATCCACTTAAACTGTCTGTCAGCATCCATGTGTTTTGCTTTGCTTTGTGTTTTGTGTGACATTAAAAGACTGGAAAAATATTAAATGATTTAATAGAGAGAGTAACAAAATACTAATTCAATATTGGTGCCACAGTTTCTGCAAGCAGTTGTAGAACTGGCACTGAAGGAATAAATTTGATGGTAAGAATTAGTAATAAATATAGATTGTTTTTCGTGGACATAACATGAAATAAACAGAATATACAGTTGTGCACAAAGGATATAGTGCCTCAGCTGAATATCTTTTAAAGATTCAGTGCTATTAACCTCGCAAACATTGTTCATTGCGCCAGCCTGGTACTACAGTATATAAACAAGCTTTTTTTCTCCAGGTAGACTTATAAAAATGTTTGCACCCTGGGAATTACTAGGAAACCCATTAGATTTGAGCTTACAATTTTGGAGAGCTCTTGCCATTTTAGTAATATTAATTTTAGTAATATTCATCAGATGGTCTATGGGTCTGAGGCTGAGACTACCAGATGAAAGACCCAGTATCAAATTATGAGACAATTTATTTAAAACTTGAAATTATCCAAAAGTACAGGAATTCTGAGATTGTTTGACATTTGATTTGTTGAAAACTGGGTATCAGGTTAGGTGACACCAGCTCGCAGTTTGAAATCGGATGACTGACCCTCAAACCCAGGTGACTATCGATAACAATTCTACATGCAGCATCAATTCATGGACGTTGACATAGAATCAGTGTGGGTCGGACCAGGTTTTATGCATTAGCTATTAGAGATTATAGCATGTAGTATTAAATTATAGAGATTTAGAGTAGTCCACTTGTGTGTTTAGACACAATGACTAAAAATGTTCTATCTCTGTCTCTGTTTGTCTGCTCATTTCTTTAGTAAGTCCAGTGGAAGCTCCTCCTCTAGTTTGGGGGATGTGATGTCATCAGGTGAGCCAATGAGCTGTTGGGGGTGGGGCTTTATGAGATGGGGGTGGGGTTACAGGAATCTCCCCGAAAAAACGGAATCATAGGCAATTCATCAGTGGATGATTTTACTTCAACACTGTCCTGCGTAAGGCTAAAGATCAAACGTGCAGCTACTTGTGAGCATGGGACAGTGGACCATGAATGACTTGAATGGCTTTCTCTCATTTGAAGAACTTGATAATACTTTACTTCTTTTTCCTCTCTTTTTACAGGCAAGCAGAAACAGAAAGTGGTAAGTGTGTCCACACGATGGAAGAATCGTCGCCTAACCTTCCTGTCCAGTCATTGAAGAGATGTATTTCTGCCACACATGTCCTAAACTCAAATTCCTCTCTACACTCATTCCTCAAAACTACTCTCATTGTGACGTACTTTGACCATGCTGTGCTTTGTTATTTACCTATGATCTCATCTGCAGACTGAACATGTGGCTCCCTATGATGTTGTGCCTTCCATGAGGCCTGTGGTGCTGGTTGGTCCATCGCTGAAAGGATATGAGGTGGGTTGTCCTAAATGATGTGGTGGAGATATATCGTCATCAAACTTGGGTCTCTGTTGTTGACAGAAAAACACTTTTGTCAAAGATCGATCTGGAGAGTTTTTACAGGTGAATCAGCAAATTCATCATAAAATAACATAGAACTGAAAATTCCTCCTTCAAGGCCGTAGAGCTGGCGTTCTTTGTTTATGACTGGCTGCGTGTCTGTGTGTGCACATTTTGCGTTATTGATACCAGCAAAATATAATATCTATTCCAGTCTCTCCATCTCTTCACACAGAGAAAACAAAAACATACTCCTCCTCTTCACAGTTCTGTTACCACGGCAACAACCTTCCGGGGTCCAAGAGACGTCAGTGCTAGAAAGTAGAGCACGGTTTGAAATTAGAAAGAGACAGAATAACAGGAACAGTGATGGAGGGAGGGAATCGTTGAGAGAAAGAATGAAGGCATGTGATAGACAAAGACAAGGCGAGACAGTGAATTAGAGAAAGTAAATAAAGAAAACAAGCTCCTTTGCCATTTATAGGGTGTAACTGGATGCAGATGTAACAAGGATTTCATTTATTTATGCAGCTGCTTGGTGTATAAATTACAGGGAGGCTTGTTTTATTGAGACTAAGTAAGCTTTTGAGTTGATGAGGCAGGAGTTTTGTTCTTAAAATTAAATTGAATCTTTAGCTCTGTTCCAAAAACTGCCTCGCTCCCCACAGCTGCAATAAGTGACCAGTATGGAACCTTATAAGTGACCAATTTGGAATGCTCAACATATGCAGCACTTTGCACAGGAGACTTGACCAGCAATTATTAGAGTGCAACAATCGGGTTCTTAAAGTAAATCCCTTTCATTTTCTCAATATGGAAATTAATTTTAAATGATAGCTCATAAACCTTTAAAGACAGACTTACTGTGAGCTATGAGGTTGTTAATCGATGTACTGTATATGATTTTGTTCAAGCCATCAGCCCACATTATTTCAATTTATTTTTTAAATAACTGTTTGACAGAAGAACTCCTGGTGAAAATTACATTACCCGTTACCCAGAAATCTCGACCAATCGAAGAACCATGACAAGTAAATAGTGCCAGATGAAAATATTTTTTAAATATTATATAACTCAATTATGTCCTTCGCAATGCCTCATGGGATTCTAGTCTTTTCCCTGATTAAAGGTATTTTTTAAATATTATAGATAGATAGAGAGAGTTGTATATTTATGTTTTTAACTCAATTATGTCCTTCGCAATGCCTCATGGGATTGTAGTCTTTTCTCTGATTAAAGGTTAAGCTAAGTTTACAACTTTGTCTCTAAATTTGTTTCAAATTAAAGTTTGTAATGTTGTGATTCTCCTTGTAGCTGCTTGGTTTGGTTCATAGCTTATAACTCTTAAACAAACAAGTTTTTAAAATACCTATAAGAAAAATGAATGGGAAAAATACTTCCGGAAAACAGGGCTGCTGAAAAAAAAAAAAACATAGGTTGGCACTGTTGCACTTTATTTCAATGGAGTTTGGCTTTAGCATGTTGCTTAGCTACAGTAAAATACCCTAATAAGCATAAACATGGCACACACAAATGTTGTTTTAGAACAGATCAAATAGTATTTAAATATGAAGTTATGTAAATATAAATGTATTATGTAAAGTGATGTAAATACACTATTAACCACATTTTAGTCATTCTAAATCACACAGAAATACTCTATATCTTTTGAACAGGTCACCGATATGATGCAGAAAGCTCTTTTTGACTTCTTGAAACACCGGTTTGATGGCAGGTAAGTATCAAAAGTGGTTTATAGATTTCATCCTGTTCCTGCACATCACTTAGAAATTTAAAATACGGAATAATTTGTTATAAACAAGATAGGGTGGCTTATATGTTATAATGACAGGTTTTCACTGCAGCTAACTACAGATAATGTATTTACTGTCCTAGGATAACTATCACGCGTGTGACTGCAGATATCTCACTGGCAAAGAGATCAGTGCTTAACAATCCCAGCAAGAGAGCCATTATTGAGCGCTCAAATACCAGATCCAGCCTGGGTAAGACACAGAAAGAACCGAAACATACCTCACAGAAGGTTATTAAAAATAAATAGTCCAGGTTAAATTCAAGTTCTGGTCACCGTGTAATCAGTTACCATAGAAAATAATTTTGACTTGTTCCTCAGTTTATAAATACAAGGAAAGCCATATGAACAGTAATGCATTTACTGTCAAGTCTATGGTTCTAAGACTTAAATGCACTGGAACATTTAAAATAAAAAAAATGTGACACTATTTTTAATGCACTTCTCTTAATTCTTGTGTAAATTAATCTTGATATTTAGGATGAAAATTTGTGTGAATAGCTATGTTAAGTTAAGCACAGCTTTTCTTGGTGGCCGAGTGTAAAGTTTGCACCATATAAACAGTGCTTTACAAATAGTTAAGTCATATCACTTTCTGATATCCTTGCCTGGATATTGTGAGATAGTAGGTAAGTAATTATATCACACTATTTCTAAGAATTATGGTTACAAGTGATAATTGCATATTTAAACATTTATTTGTAGTGCTTGTACACTTGCTCCATAAGCTTTCATTTTAAGTGCACTACTTAACACATTTTCTTTAGTTTTCATAAAGTGAAGAATGAGTCAAAATTCATTTTCTGTGGTAAACTCAGTAGTGGGCAGTAGTGTTGCTCACATTTTTCTTTTAATCGGTGAAATCAGGTAGCATTTCATTGTTGACGCACACAAAAAATGTCACATTTTCCCTGACATTATTTCAGCAAAGCCAAGTGTGTGGTATTTTCAGTAGGGTTTTTTTAGAAATTAGTGGTAGCAATGCCTGAGAAACATCAACTACAACTTTTTTTTTTTTGGTGTCTAATATTACCGTTTTTAGTGTAAATAGCTACTTTCTCAAAATCCCTAACCCTATTTTCTGTAGAGTATTTGGTAGCTGCATTTTTTGAGCAGCTTGCCCAAAACTGGTTGTATTTAAAGTCAGTGTAAACCGGAAGTTGCAACCGACTTTACTTCCGTATTGTGACGTACTTCTGAGAGGAACGTAATATTGAATAAGAAAAACGGAGGGTGTGGCTTGTTTTTTTTTTCTACTGCGAACTGATTGGATTTAGTAAAGTAGGCATTTCATTCAGAACAACTCTGAGAGTTGGAGGGGCGTGTTTAAGGATGTTATGCTCAAGCCCAAGCCCTCAAACTGACGTCATCAGAGAAGGTCCGTCATTTCAGAGGGGAGGTGCATTTTCAGATTTGGATTAAAGATTACGAAGGCAAAAAAAATGTTTTTGTGTGGATTGACTGAATTGTTCACCACAAAAATAGCAGTGTGCGCTAACAAAATAAATAGTCAATTTTGATTTCATGTGTATTTTAACCTAGAATATTCCTTTAATCTGACATACTGCCATCAAATGCAATATCAAAATGTGTCACTTCTCCTTTTGTTCTATTAGTGTGCAAACTGTAGACTGATAATTCTTTGTGTGATATACATGTACAGCTGAGGTACAGAGCGAGATTGAGCGCATCTTTGAACTAGCTCGCTCGCTCCAGCTGGTTGTGTTGGACGCAGACACCATCAACCATCCTGCTCAGCTGATGAAGACTTCACTAGCACCCATAATCGTCCATGTCAAAGTGTCCTCGCCAAAGGTGTGACATTCAAAGACACTCGTGTCATGGTTTTAGTGTTGCATTAGAGAAAGACCAATCAAACTTCAAAATCTGATTAAAATTATTGTTCTTGCTTTGTAACCAACTCTTTTGTCCTTTAGGTCCTCCAGCGGCTCGTCAAATCTAGAGGAAAGTCACAGAGTAAACACCTCAATGTACAGCTCGTAGCCGCAGATAAACTAGCACAGTGTCCTCCGGTGCGTCTTATCTTACATACAAACATCAACACACATATGGAAGAAAAATACAGAAATTACTCCAGTTTTACACAATTTTAACATATTCTTATATATGTGTGTGTGTTCCTCTTTAACAGGAGATGTTTGACATCATCTTGGATGAGAATCAGTTGGAAGACGCATGTGAGCACCTGGCTGAGTATCTTGAGGCGTACTGGAAGGCAACCCACACCTCCAGCAGTACCCCGCTCAACCCTCTGCTGGGCAGGAACCTCGGCCCCGCTGCCCTGGCCCCTTACACTACGTCTGCTATATCCGGCTTGCAGGTACGCAATCACACGCACTCTCTACACATAATAGGCATTTTTAAGGTGTTTGTAGACTTTTTGATCAATACCAAGATATTTGGTCAAAATTTTTATGAATTTACAAAGCCTATGTTTTGATTGGTTAATCATTGGTCCATTTTAAATAGTCCGGTGGTGTGTTTTAAAAGTTTTATACAAATATTCAATTTAGACTTTCAATTAATATAATGTCATAAAATCTGATATAATAATATAAAAAGTATTAGCAAAATGTTGTATAAAATAAAATGTTGCATAAAATAAATTGTATTTATTCAAAATGGAAATCTTTAGTAACAATACAAGTTTTAATATCTTTTTTATCAAAATAAAGAGTGTATTTTGTTACAAAAAAATTTAGTTTTGAATAAATGCTCTTTTTTTTTTTTTTGTTCATCAAAGAATATTAAGCAGCACAGCTGTTTCCAACATTGATAATAAATCAGCATATTAGAATGATTTCTGATGGAAAATGTGACACTGAAGACTGGAGTAATGGCTGATGAAAATTCAGCTTTGCCATCACATGAATAAATTATATTTTAAATTGTAATAATATATCGCAATATTACAGTTTTTACTGTATTTTGATCAAATACATGCAGCCTTAATGAGCGTAAGACACAAAAACAGTCAAAATCTTGCTGATCCCAAACTTTCAAACAGTAGTGTTTAATACGTACCACCGTTCAAAAGTAGGTTCAAAACACTTTTAATGTTTTTGAAAGAAGTCTCTTCTGCTTACCAAGGCTTCATTTGTTTGATCAAAAATATGGTTCAGACAGTAATATTGTCAAATATTATTACAACTTAAACTGTTTTAAATTTTAATTTATTTTAAATTGAAATTTATACCTGTGATGGCAAAGCTGAATTTTCAGCAACTTTTTTCCAGCGTTATTTAATGAATATAAAGTTTAAAAGAACAGCATTTATTTGAAATAGAATATTTTGTTAACACTATAAATGTTTTTTTTACGTTTAAACGGTAGTGCTTATATTAAAAGATAAAAAACTTAATACTAGTGCAGGCTCTTACTTTATTTGGTACTTGTACATCAGAATCAGCAGGGGCAAAAAACACTGCAAGCCAACCACACTGGGGACCACTCCACCCCCAACGAACGGCGCAACCTGATGACCTCAGACGAGAACTACCACAACGAACGAGCGCACAAGGGACGGAACCGAGGCTCCTCTGGCTCGCAGCACGGCGGCAGCGGTCGAGACCACCACTACATGGAAGAGCAGCAGGGCTACCAGGACCCCTACCAGGACACCTACAAGCCCCACCGCAACCGCAGTTCCCCAGGCAGCTACAGTCAGGACTCACGACACCGGCTCTGAGCCACCCTGCCCCGTTTCGTCCTCCAAGCCTGAGCCACAGAGCCACTGAGCCAAGATGGCTTCTGTCCAGAATTGTATACATCTTCCATTACGCTTTCATTTTGTTAGGGTCTCTTGAGCTACAAAGCAGAAACTGTTTAACCCCTCCTGAACCTTCACCATCTGACCAAAGCCTGCATTTACGTCTGCTTATACAAGGCTCAACGTGTCTGCCTGGGAAAAGGGAACCTTTCAACATGCAATGGAGCAGAAATGTTACAGTTGTTATGCTTTCACATGTTAATATGCTTGTTGATTTTTTTGTTTTGCCGATTCTGTTGCAAAAGGGCAGGTTTTACTTCTACCAAGCAACCATTTCACTTCAAAACGGAATGATTGGTTGGTCCTTAAAAGCAAATATTCTGTGAAGCTAGCAATAGCCGAGAATCAGAGAGTTGTAAAGGGTGTATACAGGATCCCTGAAAACTGAACAAGGAGCTCAGTTAGTCTTTGTCATTATTGCCAGCATGTTACCTGAACGCATGCTTCCCCTTTCATTAGTGCATAACTTGAGCGGACATAGGATGATGTGAAAGTGAAGTGACATGTGGCCAAGTATGGTGACCCATACTTGGAATTAGTGCTCTGCATTTAACCCATCCAAAGTGCACACACACAGCAGTGAACACACACACCGTGAACACACACCGGGAGCAGTGGGCAGCCATTTTTGCTGCGGCGCCCTGGGAGCAGTTGGGGGTTCAGTGCCTTGTCAAGGGCACCTCAGTGGTGGTATTGAAGGTGGGAGAGAGCACAGTACATTCACTCCCCCCACCTACAATCCCTGCCGTTACGAGACTCAAACCCGCAACCTTTTGGGTTACGAGTCCGACTCTCTAACCATTAGGCCACAACTTCTTTTTTTGTTGTTTTTTTAAAGTGAAGTTAAATGCTGTAATCATCGCCCATAAGCAGGCCCCCAAGAAAGTGACTGACAAACTGGAACATTTCAGTAATGTAACACAAACCTACTGCCAGCTGTCTTTGCTTACAGAAATGGAATCTTAAAAACCATGATCTTGGAGTTTTCCAACGCCTCGAAATCCTAGGCGGTGGAATTTCCACATAAATTCTGCCAAAAATAGCAGGAATCTTAGATTCGGCCACAGCCAGCCAGTCATCTCTGCAGGTTAGCACTGGTGCACTGCATTCTAGCCCATGGACTCATTTCTTACCAGGCATTATTTTCTAGTTAGGAAGACAGCTTAAAGAGATCCATAACATAGGAATGCTGAACAAAAGTGTTGCTGTGATCTAGTCCTCAGTAGAGTTAGCAAGAATTGACATCTTATGATTAGTTTTCATAATTTAAAAGCTGAAATTATGGCACTTTGGTACATTGTAATTTAAATAGATCTCAAGAGTGCTTGGTGTCTATTAAAAAAATACCATTTTCCTCAGCACTACATAACGTATCTCTAGGATGAACAGGTCAATTTAGTTCTGATTCTTTAGGAGTGACTGGCACCCTGTGCTCCACCCTGCCAACTGGAGCTGCCGCCATCCGGTCCACTTCAGCAGATATGCAGTGACCTCCTCGACCGCTCTGAGGTGGCTAGCCACATCTCAAATGCTACAGACTAAACCCGACACCTAAAGTGTCGTTCTTCTACTCATACATTTTCAGTGTGAAAGGGACTGGCAGAGGACAAGTAGATCCTCAACATATGGAAGCAGTTCAGACCTGGACCTGAAACTTACAGACCCAAGGCCTTGGCAAACCATGGATGTCCTCGCCTGCATATTCTCGCCTTATTGATTTATGCTAGTTTGTGCATTTTCAAAAGAATACATTTTAAAGAAAAAATCAACTCGGAAAAACTAAGGACTGCAACTATTGCATTTGTCTATGAGCATGCTTCTCTGTTAATTATATAATGAGGATGAATGAACATGAGGAATTTGGCAGTCCATGCCCATTTGTCTAAAAAAAAAAATTCATCTCTAAATTTTGCTGCCTGAGACAATCAGATGGAACTTCTCTGTAAAACCGGAACGTTGTTCATATCTTTTCATCATCCTGCCCTCTCCCGTTTCACAGCAGCTTCATCTGAGCTCCAGATAAAAGAATAAAAATGTGTCCATTTTTCCTTTTATTTTTTATTTTTTTGTGAAAGTTAAATTAAAGATGGAAATGCAAAATTGCATGCATATCGTTTTAATTTATAACAAATTTGAAAGAAAAGGTTTTATGGAATATAATTGTGTAAAAGGCAAATCTAGCAGTATTTAAGTTATTTTACAAAAACTAAAAGAAGAAAAAATAAATGGTCATTTTGAAACTGTGTCTTATTTATTTATTTATTTTAGACTTTTTGGAGCCATCATTTTATTAGCATTTCAAAGGCCATGGCCATACCACGGTAAGGATACAGTAAAATGAATGACTAAACGGGTGAAATTTGAAAAGTTGATTTAAAAGTAAATTTTAAGCCTCAAAAAAGACTGCATCGTACCATCTCAAGCTACTATTATATATGAATTATGCTATGTAAAGGTTTACAGGGCTCAAACTCAAACCTGTTTGTTAGAATTTAATGCTGATGTTTTTACAAACAGCCATATTTCCATCAACAAATGCTTACTGTACAAAATAATGGTAACAGGAATAGATATTCCTTGAGCTCATCTCTTTTCAGGAAGCCACATTTGAAGATACAGAAGATTAATAAAAAGGCAAAGAATGTTACCCTGTTTTTGTTAGTGTGGCCACAATGTAACAGAATAAAAATAGAGCAGAACAGACTGTAATAGTACAAAGCTGCCATCAGCTAGTAAAAAGCTAAAAGTTAAAGCAATTACACTGTTAAAGGACACAAGAGACACGCATTAGTAAAGTGACCAAGATATTGTAGGGCCACAACAACCAAGAAAAGCAACTTGCATTATAAACTTCATTACATAAACGGTGTGTTCTTGTGCAAGTGAAACATTATACTAAATAAATAAGTCCCTGAATTTCAGCGTTTCTGCCTCTAGATGGCATATGAAGCACAATAAGTGTTTACTGATGATCTTAAAAATTAAAAGATAGGCAATTAAATCTTTAAAAATATTTAAAGTGACTGTTGGCACAGAAATAGCTCATCTTACTTGCTGGGAATACAATAGTAAAGAGTTTGGACTCTGAATGAGCAAGTGATGGCAACATTTTCATTTTTGGGTGAACTATCCCTTTAAGCTTCAGTTTCAAAAACCTTATTGAGAGAATGTCCAACGTGTGCAGAACTGTATCTACACAACAGATGGCGACTTTGAGGAACAACTAAATATACTTACAACACTTTCATTAATACTTTGATGACTTTATAAATACAAATAATAATCAGATGTGTCTAAGTGTTGCCTACATCGCAGTGGCCTTCTGACAAAGCAGATCATGCAACCTTAACCCGTTTAATCCCAAATTTTCCCAAGACATGAAAATATCCAAATGATGTGTCAATAGTAACCCTTTGAAATAATAATATATATATTTTTTAATTTAGTTTTATGGTTGGTGGAATAATGTGTATACGGAATTAACATATTTCTGCAGTCATAAACATGTCTCAGCCCAGCTATTTTAAACTGTTTGATCAAATTCTAGGGTTACTATTATGCATTAAAAAAAAACTTAAACAACACTTTTAAGAATACTGAGATAAAAGACAAAAAATTCAACCATCAACGTATTTCAAAATTGTTACTTTATTGTAAAATATATCAAATTTTTATATTAGTGCTACCAGTATTACAACTTGTTTGTAACATTTGAACTTTTAATTTAATGCAATATTTTGTCATTGCAACATTTTAGTGCAGCCTTCACTAACAACTGCAATTGGATTTATATTGTATACCTAAATTCACTGTTATAGTAATATATGTGAATTAATATATTATTAATACTCGACACCTTAAAGATAATGTGGACCAAAAATCTTGATGTTAACATACTTTACTAGCCTTTGGTTTTGGAGCTTTGATGCAGCCATCCCCTGCGTTCCATTAGGAAGGTTTACCCATAGACAGTTTTTTTTATTATTATTAATGCTCAAAAATCAAGAACAGTACACAAACAATAATACAACAATCAACATAAAAATTATAAACAATAATAATAACAAAGAATAAAGTAAAAACAAATAAAGAAGAAGAAAACAAAAAGGGGGGTGGGGTTAATACATTACAAACTGAAAAAAATAAAACTGAGACCTTTATTTTTTTTTGCCTATATTTGTGGGAAATGCACTAAAACACCAGTCAGTAAGGTTTTTAGAGCTTTATAAATGAAAATCTTTTTTACGGTCACTATTTGTGACCGGTGGGATTAAATGGGTTAAAGGAGACATACTATGCCCCTTTTTACAATATAGACTCTGGTGTCCCCAGAATGTGTCTGTGAAGTTTCAGCTCAAAATACTCCACAGATAATTTATTATAACATTTTGAAAATGCCTATTTTGAGTGGAAGCAGATATAAGCTGTTTTTCGGGCCTGTTTCTTTAAATGCAAATGAGCTGCTGCTCCTCGCCCCCTTTTCTAGAATAGAGCTGCGCCATTACAGCTCGGACCTGCTAAAAACATGTTTTTGGTTCATATTATCATTTTTATCTCGCTGAAATCATGCGTTTTAAACCATATTAGTTTAAACTTCTGATATATGGTTTTCTGAGAGCACACATCTGAAGCACACGGACAGAAAGCAGCTGTCACAGCATGTGAGTACTAAACTAAGTTCTCATTCACACACAAGTTTACGTTAAAAACACACGAGTTACAAAAATATTCGGTTATGTCTGTGAAGGTAAAGTGCTGGGAAATAAATTGCATGCTTATTTTAGATCTGTGTGGCAGCAGCAATATACAGTAAATAAATCAATAAATCCACTGCTCTGTTGTCTCCTCTGAGGCTGGGACTCGAAATTGTGTTCTGTGCAGCCGAAGACAGAACAGTTAGCATGTTTTGCTCAAACTTTCGCCATGGCATTAGAACTGGTACACCGTTGTCGCTTGTCGAATCAAAATGACGGCGCCGTGGGTGGAAACTTACAGATTAAAGGGATAGTTCACCCAAAAATGAAAATTTTATGTTTATCTGCTTACCCCCGGGGCATCCAAGATGTAGGTGACTTTGTTTCTTCAGTAAAACACATTTGATGATTTTTAAGTCCAACCGTTGGAGTCCATCAGTCTTATGCATGGCAATGGTAACAAAGTCTATGAGTGTAAAAAAAACATGCACAGACAAATCCAAATTAAACCCTGCAGCTCCTGATGACACACTGATGTCCTAACACACGAAACGGTCGGTTTGTGCCAGAAACTGAACAGTGTTTATATCATATTTTACCTCTAATACACCACTATGTCCAACTGCTTTGAGCACGCACACGACTTCCGGTGCGTGGGGCGTGTACGCGCTCTGGCGTAGTTTACGCAAGCGCCGGAAGTGATCTCTCGCGCGTATACGTAACTCATTGTTTACACAGTGCACAGTCATTGTAGCTACAATGGCTAATCAAAATGGTACTTACTTGCGCTTATCCGGATTGTTCAAACCGACTTCTGAGCCTGCTCGCCTGAAGTTATGGTTGATTGCTC